CTATCGGATAACGGCATCAAGCATCAACTAAATGTTCCCTTTTCGCCTCCTCAGAACCGTGTGAGCGAAAGAAAAAATAGAAGTCTTACTGAGATGACCAAGTGCCTGCTGTCCCAAGGCCGACTTTCAGACAATTTTTTGGGTGAAGCTGTCAACACAGCAAATTACATCCAGAATCGCCTTCCAACCAGAGCTTGTGATAAGACTCCCTATGAATTATGGAGGGGAAGAAAACCTAATTTAGCTCATATGAAACAATTTGGTTGCACAGCTTATGCATATGTACATAAGGAAAACCGTAAAAAATTAGACCAGAAAGCGATTGAAGGAATTTTTGTCGGTTGCGATCAACGATCAAAAGGGTACAGAATCTACACAGGTAAAAACCATATAATTATCAGTAGAAGTGTAAAATTTGTCGAAGAATTATCAGCGAATGAAAATATTGAAATTTCTCTTCATCCAAAGGTTGAAGATGTTGAAAATGATGAAGAAGCTGAAGAAAAACACAAAATTGTATCCAAAGAAGAGCCAAGACGATCAGAAAGGAAAACGAAGGGAATACCACTAGAACGTTTAGGATTTCTAACAAACACAATCAAAACCATTCCTGAGAATTTTAAAGACTTAGATAAATTGCATTCCGAAGAAAAGGAAAAGTGGTTACTCGCAGTCGATGAAGAAATCAATTCCTTATCCCGAAATACAACTTGGGAACTGGTTGAGCTTCCTGTAGGAAAGAAACCTATTGGCTGTCGATGGATTTTCAAACCGAAAGAAAATGAAGATGGAACAGTCATTCGTTACAAGGCGCGACTAGTTGCTAAAGGTTATGGTCAAAAATTTGGAACTGATTATGATCATACCTTTGCACCAGTAGTTCGACATACAACTATCAGAACTTTTCTTGCTGTCGCAGCATATGGTAAAATGCATGTGAGGCACGTAGACGTTACTACAGCATTTCTACGTGGAAATTTAGAAGAAGAAATATACATGGAACAGCCAGAAGGCACTGTTCAACCCGGACAAGAAGAGAAGGTTTGCAAACTGAAAAAAGCTATTTATGGATTAAAGCAAGCTGCCAGAGCATGGCATAAAAAAGTTGAAGAAGTGTTAAAGAATAGCAACTTTTCGCAAAGCATGGCAGACCCATGCTTATTTCTAAAGAAAGATGGAAATGACACGATAATGATTATTGTCTATGTCGATGATATCCTTATCGCATGTAAAAGCAAGGAAAAAATCAAAAGGCTAATCAAATCTCTCAATGAATTCTTCGAAGCAAAAGATTTAGGAGAAATCGAAAACTACTTAGGAATCAACATCAAAAGAGATGAAAACAAGTTTCTTTTGAGTCAAAAATCAAAAATAGAAAAATTGAAGAAGATATTTTGTCCAGATATCCACAAACCATCTTACACACCAATGGATACTTCTTATCCAAAGGAAGAAGACATCTCTCCACCAGTGGACAATACGAAGTACAGGCAAGCCATTGGAGCCTTATTATACATAGCCACTGTAAGCAGACCAGACATTACTCTCGCAGTGAATCTATTAAGCAGAAAAAATGAATCTCCAAATGAGAAGGACTGGAAAGCAGTTTTAAGGGTGATTGAATACCTCAACTCTGTGAAGGACATTTGCCTAAAAATTGACTCTGATAGCACACCAACACTTTCCTCTTATACGGATGCTGACTATGCATCTGATTTAACCACCCGAAGATCAACAGGTGGAAATTTATTTTTCTTAGGAAATAGTCCAATATTTTGGTCCACAAAGAGACAAAATTGTGTTTCCCTATCATCTACCGAATCCGAGCTTATTTCTGCAGCCACTGCTGCTCAAGAGCTCAAATGGATATTAGATCTTAAAGATTTTGGAATAACTCAAAAACTACCCATTAAGATATTTGAGGATAATAAGTCCACAATAGCTCTTATAAAACAGGGGGAAATGAATACTAGGTTAAAGCATATTAATGTTAACTATTTCTTTTTAAGGGAAATGGAAGAAAATAAAATAATCGAGATAACTTACTGCAATACAAATTTTATGATTGCAGATATTTTTACTAAGCCATTGCCTAAACCAAAATTTCTGAAATTAAAAAATGAGCTAAATTTGATTTCCAATATTTCCCAAACGCATGATTAAACGGGAGATTGTTGTAAAGTAATCAAGCATTTGAGAATAAATAAATAAAATGTTTTTTCTAACTTACTTTTGGCAACCGTAAAAATGCCAAGACACACGGGCGTCAAACACGTAAACTATGTTAATCACGTGATATTAATATATCCCACGATCCTCTTGTTCTTTAGTTATTACTTAAGCTTCTGTATGTGTAAACATTAATTGTGTTAACATTATTGTATTTACCGCTTATATTATTTTAGTTGCAGTTCAATAAATATGTTATTAGTGTTTAAATCTGCATCGTATTATTTATGGATAAATCCCTCATATAATAATCATCAATAGTTTCGGAGACTCAGCTGCTGCTAATGAGTGAACAAAAGGTAAGCTGATTTTGCTATCTTTATTCTTCAGAAAACTTAATGGTTCCTCTAAAAATAATTTTATAATTATAATTATTTATAATTACTATAATGTCTATGAAAATAATTATATTAATTTACACTCAGTTATAACATAAATAAATTTTGATACATTTTTACTCTGTGTTTTGCTCTTTTTTTTATTTACTAAAAAAATGTTTTCTGATTTTTGTTAAATGTTCAAAACAATGATTATGTTTAGCTCATTGCAAATATTAGTTCATAAAATTCTAATTCCACAGTAGATTTCTCTAAATCATCAATGTATTTCTGGAACTTTAAGTATGTCAACTTGTTTGTACACCCAATTATGTTTTTACAGTATAGATACAAGGTTTGGAACTTTAATAGTGGCAACACAGCTGAAAAAATGCTACGCAATAAAACCAAAGAATATCGCGTATACCACACATGAACTACATACCTACCTTACCTCTCAGCAAAAAGACTCGTCCTGCCTACCTCACGCACAAACAGAGTGACGCGAAGAACGGATCCTCGTATTAGCTCGCGGTCTAAAGTAAATGTTGTCAGGATGTTTTCAAAACAAGAACAACGATGTTGGATAAAAATTGAATGTGCCAAAGGTCGTACAGCACGACAGTGTCATAAAGAGCTTCAAGAGGCTTGCGGGGAATCTGCATTGCCTTACAGAACCATATCAAGATGGGTGAAAGCATTCAATGAAGGACAGCAAAACGTGGCAGACATGCTGCGGCCAGGTCGTCCGAGTGTCAGCGATGCAGACGTGCAAGCTGTTGCCGCACTAATGGACAGTGATCGCCGCCAAACGATTCGTCAGCTGGCCGGACAAACAGGATTAGCGCATACGACTGTGCTGCACATTCTGGAGGAACGCCAGTCCATGAGAAAAATTGCTCCACGATGGGTTCCACATCAATTGACGGAAATGATGAAATGGCTGCAATACGATGCTGCCCGAACCCACCTGGAGTGCTATGAGTGCGAAGGAGATGCTTTTTTACACCATATCATTACGGTGGATGAGATTTGGGCCCGATCGTACCAGCCAGAACTGAAACGCCAGTCAAACAAATGGCGTCATCACGGGTCACCACGACGTTCGAAATTTCGTCAGAACCCCAGCAATGTGAAAGCTATGGTGATTCTCGTGTACAACTGTGATGGTGTCATCCTAACGCATACTGTTCCCCCACAGCAGTCCGTCACTGCGCAGTATTACTGCTTATTTTTGGAGCACAAACTCCAACCAACTTTGAGAAAAAAAGGCGACACTTTCTGCAGAACGTTCCTCTCATTTTGCATGACAATGCTCGGCCGCATGCAGCGCAAGCTGTGACTGATTTGTTCAAGCGATGGGGCTGGGAAGTGCTTTATCATCCACCATACTCCCCAGATCTAAGCCCTTGTGACTATGACTTAATTCCTAAGATGAAGGAACCACTTCGTGGCACTCGCTTCCAAACTGTTCCTGAGATTCTTGCGGTAGTAGACCAGTCCATTGAAACTATCAACAAAACAGGTGCTGCTAGAGGTATTCTGCGACTTCCACATCATTGGAAATGGGTTGTACACAATGCTGGCGACTATATTTAAGGACTGCAAAACATGGTGACATGAATCACTTTTGTATTCCTTGTAAATAAATAGTTGCCACTTTTAAAGTTCCAAACCTCGTATATTCCAAAAGAAAACACACAGGAAAAAGAAAAAAGACATAGTATAAATGGAAGAAACAAAAATTGGTTCTAAGTTAAAAATTCCACAAAATATTTAAAATCCGAGGGTATTCTTTTTAAGCTTATTTTATTATTTCAACAAAATATGGTATGTTTAATAAAACTGCACTGAAGTAAATTTGCATTTGAAATGAAAAAAAACTCCCGATTGATTGCCAGGAAATACTCAAAGATGGATCTACAAAAAAAGAAACTGCTCTTATTATTTGCACCATCCTAAGCTATGCCCCTCCTGTTTGGACAATGGAAACTAAAAAAGGATAATCTTAGACTTCAAAGACTGCAAAACTGGTATTTGAGAATCATCACTAATACACACTATATTTTTCTAAACCAAAGACTGCACGAAGACTTAGAAGTTGAGCCTATTGAGGAATAAATAGTGCATACGCTTGCAAGCAACTGGAATATCACTGCTATCACAAGAAATTTTGTTGCTGTGGACATCACAATCTTCCTCAATTGATGAAATTATTTCTATAAGTACACTTTTCCATGTTTCTTATGCTTTTATATGTTGTTTGACAAGAATGCAATAGTAAAAGTATGAGAAAATATGCACTTAGTGCATTTATGTACTTATGTACTTTTTAATGCATATTTCTTTTTATCCCTACAGAAAGATGATTAATAATAAGAGCAATAGCAAGTTAGAAGTCAATTGCTTTATAATTTAATGACATCAATTTTAAAACAAAATGTTAAAACACATACCCTCTTTTTAGTTCTAGTAGTGTATGTAGTTTTTCCATTTTTTCCATTAAATACTTCTATAGACACATATGGATCACTAAACAATAAGAAAACACTGTATATAATATATAAAATAAGCTTCTTTTGCTTTTACATTAAATCAAAAAATTTCTTTGTATTGTAATCTTAAATTTTTTTTAATAAAGTAATGATAAAGCTCAATACACATGTCACATTCTTGCATTATTATTCTTCAATCATTTTAATATTTTTATCAAAAAAATTTATTTTCAAATTATTAAAAACATTTTGCAAAAAGTCACATAACTTCTAGTTTCCATTACAAATTAGTAATTGGTAATACATAGTATATTAAAAAAGTTATACTATCTCTCATTACTAATAAATATTAATGGAATGAACTCTTTTAAAAAAGTGAAACTCAAAACTTGCTTATGATGTGTATCTAATAAAACAAACAAATGCATAAATGCTAAAAATTAACTGCATAATTACTCTAATACATTCATAAACATGAAAAAAATAAATGGTAAAATATTAAAATAAAGCAGAAACATTTATGCATACTTTTTATTGTTGACATTAAAACAGTAATACTGATACAGTATTTAAAAAAAAATCATTATAGGAAGTAATTATAATGATGCATTTAATTTGAAAAATAAACTACCTTTCTTAATAATTATTATAAGGACAGCACTGAATACTACTTTATAACAAACTAAACCTGATACTTCACTTTATGTTAAAAAACATATTATATGCAAGAATACAGAAATAAACTTCTTACCTGGCACCAAAAATATCCTTTTTTGCTAGATCATGGCCAGCAATAATTTTAAGTCTAAGAGATCTGGGGGCTGCTTCATCCTAATAAAAATTAGCCAGTTTTAGATGAATACATACACTATCTAGTAATACTTTCACAGACTTACAGAGAGTATATTAAAATAGAGCAAAGGATAAAAAAAATTAATCCTTAAAAATTATATCTACTGCAAAACATTACAGTGCCAATAGTATTGACAAAACTGGTTAAGTTAGTTAAATAAAAAGTTAAAATAGTCGTATATTTCCAAAATTATAATAGTTTTGAATAAATATCACCAGAATAAGAATGATATCAAGTAATAGTATTCACATGCTACATAAATTTAATAAACCATGAAAAAAGAAAAATTCTGGTTAGTAAAATTCTGGAGAAATCTATAAATGTAGTCAAAGAATATATCTACAACTAATTTAGCACTGTATTATGTTTGATCATAAATATCACTAATAAATATCAAACAGAACTTTACAGATCAATGGAACTTTAGAGAACTGGTGGAAAAGACAGGCAGACAATCTACAAACCGGATAAAACTTGAATGGTTTCCCTGACCTTCACAACTACACACCTACAGCATCGAATGAATAAGAGCAAGTAAAAAAAGAAATTCTGCACAAGTAGTGTTTTCTTTTCTTAGGGGCATGTATTGAGATAAAGGATTAAAAGAAATATTATGTTTTTAGCAACACAGAAATATTAAATAAAGTTACCTATTAACTATTTTATACTAATAGGCAGCAAAATGAAGACAAACTTGTGTGAATTATTTTGTATAGTCACTTAACTGTATTAATATCCATAAGACTTTAATTTTATTATTATTATGTCTTTAACATATGTCATAAAACTTCTATCAAGTACAAAAGAATAAAAAAGCGAGATTTCCATTCAAGCACAGTTGGTCATTCTTAAACCTATCCTCTTATAGAGAATATTTTAGATGAATTTATTAGAAAAGGTAACTATAGAACACCTTTTATTCATATACCAAATTTCATTAAGGATAATTAGTACTAATGTACTTCCACTAAAACAATTACATATTTACTAATATATTACAATATTGAATATTATGCCCCCCCCAAAAAAAAACTATTATTTTTAGAAATGACAGCTTTTATTCAAGATCTGAGACAAATTATTACTTTTTTAAATGACAAATGTTAAAATGAATGAAGTGTCTAGTTTAAGTCTAGCCTTGAAACAAATTACTGCAATGCAGCCAAAAAAAAAAAAAAAAAAAAAAAAAAAGGCATGTTTATTGAAGAGTTTTTTAACAGCTTCCAAAAATAAGTAAATTTTAGTACTCTGTTTCTTGTTCATAATTCTTTAATATCATGCTCAATACAAATTATATAAAGAAAGTGACACTGCTAGATACATTAAATAGTAGGAAATATTCTAATCCTATTTGCTGAATGAATACTGCTTCCTATAAATTAAAAAAATTAACTATAAACCAGCAAAAAACAAGTCAAAGAAAAGTCATGCTTCAATGGTTGAACTATATCAATAACCACATTACCATCTCTGGCTAAATGTAAAGCAAATTTGAAGAGGTTTCCAAGGTAGGACCAGACTGACCCTTGGCTGTTGTACCAATAGAAGAAAAAAGAAAAATTTATTTAATGTATTTTATTATGAAAAGAAGAGTAGAAAATTTGCATAATTTGATGCATAAAATTTCAAAAATAATGAAGATATGAATATTTGACTGCAAATATGAATTCCAAGATAAATATCTCAATTATTTTTGAAATTTTAAACATGAAGTTATGGAAATTTTTCTACTCTTCTCCATACCTTTTTTTTCTCTTTTCACTAATTCTTCAGTAGAATAAATGACACAAATATTATATAATTCCAATTAAAACATTCATGCACAAATGGCACAAAATACTATTCCTAGGAAACATTACTAAAAATGACTTATAAATAAATCAAAGCACACAATTACAAATGAATATGAATTAAAAGTTTCACGACCTTCACATGACTATTGCAAAGTTAATTGAAGAATTTTTTTATCTTAACATCTTACAGTTCAATATATATTCATCAAATTCCGCTTATAATACATCTGTCAAATTTCATATAAGGCTAGGTTAATTGTTGGTCGGCCTGTTTTCTGGGTTTTGAACTCAGTTTGAGCTACCATCATTCAGTAACTTTACTGCTTACCCATCCTATTTCACATAAATGAAGTAGGAATGTTGAGAAATTGCTAAAATGTGACCATACACTAGTTACCTGAATCTGCTTAAACAGAAGCTACTGAAGATAATAGTCAAGTAGTATCTGACAGTATCAAAAGAAATAACTTTTCATACATTGTTTATAAGATGTTTCCAAGTGCAGTATAAAATTTGATGAGAATTCCTTCCAAAAATAAATTCTTGTAGCCAAGCAGTGATATATACCACATATCAGTGTGATGCATATAAGTTGCAGTACGACGTAAAAATCAACATCAATATATCTTTGAGTAATTAAGACCTATATTACACAGTAATAAAATATGAAACACAATTAAGGAATCTAATAAATGGATTATGATATAAAAATATTCCCTAGCTAGCTAACAGTATAGTATCAAATGTAAATTTCAGTGACAAAACTTTTATGAAATGGAGCTGTTTCTCATAGCTTTGAAATTTCAGAGTGGTAATCTGGATATTTTAAATAAATCTAAGTTATCAATACTTATGGCAACAATTTACTAAAGATTTGCTTCCTTGTGACATGACCATGTAGGGCGTAAAACACAGGTCTCAACCTGGAAAGAATTTCATAATTCAAGGGAGGGATGTTATCAGCTTTTTATTCAGCTGTTAAGCATTTAGTTCTAGTGTTTGCATAATTTAAAAAAAAAATTAAAGTTTTGGTACTTATCAACATTTTCTATACTTTTTGTCGTTTAATTTAGAGTATACATTAAAACATAATACAGTCAAAAGTCGTTAATTCGGACACCCATAATCCGGAATGATCTATAATCCGGACCTCAAAGCTACAAACTTTCTGCGCATGCGTCGCGTTCACGCATGCGCACAGGCGTTTACGAGAGCGCGTAAGACCCTTACGGCTGCGAATATGTTTGTACGCATGCGTGTTTAATGTGTAACGGAGTTATACGCCAAGCTAAAATTATCTAATTCAGTTAACGTTGCAGATTGCGTTGTTCCTTAATCTTCGAATTGGATCCGGCTTATTATTTTTTGCAGAATGTTAGAGCAATTTTATAAAAGTAAGCTTGAACTTTCGATTATGTCAAATAGAATTTCCGATATATATTTACTACAAAGCGAAAGTATGTTTTGAAATCCAAAATCTGTTTATCAATTTCACGCTGCTCTGCGGCAGAGGGGGGGGGGCAGAAACGTCATTATTAGATTATGACAGATTAGAAAGATTATGTCAAATAGAATTTCCGATATATATTTACTAATATGTAATTTGTATCTACAAAGCGAAAGTATGTTTTGAAATCCGAAATCTGTTTATCAATTTCACACCGCGGATTGGAAGTTGATCTGTCAGCACTATTCTTATCTTCAGGGCAGATGTTTTTATTTTATTTGATTTATAATTCCGTACTAAGTGTAGTATTTCATCTCGATCTACTCCGTCTTTGATTTATGATTTAAATCAAGTTCCTCGTCATTATAATTCGCTTCCGATAGTGAAGAAAGTGACCCAGAGGTTATTGAAAACGAAAACATTTCGATTGACAAATTCGGTATTCTCAACACAGCAATTATAGGACTTTAACAGCGGAACTTTGTAACTAAACAAGAAATTATGTCTGTTTAATAGAATTAAAGAGAAAGTATTATCACATGAAACGAAGCAACTTACATTGAAGGAAATGTTTAATAAAGTAAACAAATAAATATTAAGCTTTTTCTTTTTGTAAATTTTGATACCCTTTAGATCATAATTGTTCTTTATTTCATAAATTACGGTTTCATATTTTTAATTTTGTAATTTCTGCATGTTATCTTACCAGATTTAAATTGATGATCTAGATCTATAATCCGGAAAAATCGATAATCCGGAATCGCCGAAGTCCCGACGAGTCCGGATTAACGACTTTTGACTGTACAGGGTGTTTCATAGATCATGGGACAAACTTGAAGGGGTGGTGGAGCATACTAAAACATGCATTTTTGTATAGGAATGTTGGCTCTAAAGTGACAGGTTAAGGCAGAAACGAAAAAAAAACGTGTTTATGTACAAAATCATGTGTTTATGTACAAAAAGGAAAATGTGTTCATGTACAAAATCAACGCAAAGTGCTTCTTTGCAGCAATACAGTATTCACAATAAATGTTCAAAAAAGGGAACACTAACAGTAATAAGAACTACAGCTGTGATTGGCTGGCAATGCAGCGGTAGAGGGTGCTAGTGAGCCAGACAAACCACGATCCGATGCAGCAGAGGATCATTCGCAACTCTGATATCGAGCATGATGGACGAGTTTACGCACAGGAAAAAAGCTGACATGCATATCATGTATGGTGCTGCTAATGGAAACAGCAGAGCAGCGCTACGGTTGTACCAGGAACGGTTTCTGAACAGGCATATGGCAAAGCACACAATGTTCGAGAGGTTGCATCGGTCTCTGTGTGAAAAAGGGTCATTTGAAGCCACCTCTGACACTAGGAGTGGAAGAAGTAGTGCACGAAAACCTCACATTAAAGAATCCATCTTGAAGATTATGCACGAATAACCTCAGACAAGTACAAGAGTTATTGCACATCGTCTGCAGCTGAGTCATTCCACCGTTTGGAGAGTATTGCATGAAAATAGTTTGCACCCATACCATTTGCTAAGCATTGCAAGAGACAGATTACCCTCTTTGAGTTCATTTCTGACATAGATTTTTGCAGCAGTGTGCAGCACAGGCGGATTTCCCATCGGATGTGCTATTCACGGACGAGGCAACTTTCTCACAAGATGGCATCTTCAACAGCCACAACATGCACATGTGGGCAACTCATTATCCACACGGCACACATCCACATGCATCGTAAAC